CCGTCCCCTCAGCCCTGTGTCACTCAAGGGGGTGGGGGCTTCCTCTCCCACTTCTGGGGTCCCGGGCCCACTGCCCTCCCAGCACTTCAGACCTCCGGCCCCTGCCTCCCCAGGACCCGGGAGTTGCTCTCCTCCACCCCGTGTCTCTCTGAGGGATGATCCCTCACAGCGTTGCTTGCTTTCTCCCTCCAGCCCACAGACCGGGGTCCCTCTCCCCGGCCCCCGGGCATTTGCGGGAGGAGAAGACAAGACAAAGAGAGAGGCTGGGGTGACCTCTGACTTTTGCCCTTTCGGAATTTGTCCTGAGCTCTCCTCCTGCCCCGTGGTTCCAGATCCACAGTTTTTCAGTCTCACACCTGGAAGAAGTCTAGAATTCCTGTCTCCCCAGTGCCAGCAGTGCTCAGAGAAGGGAGGGTCTTCCCTCTGTTGGTTGGTCTCTGTTCTCATTCTCTGGGACTCAGGCCCATTCGTTCATTCATTCATTCAGCCAACAAATTTATTGAGCACTTGCCGTGTCCCCGGCCAGGAGCTAGGCTGTGGGGAGGCAGCAGTAGGAGGAAAGGTGGACGCAGCCCTGCTCTCCCCTTATGTTCTGTCGGGGGGAGACAGCGAATGAACAAGGAAAGAGAGAGATGGTCGCAGACCGTGAGAAGGGCTGTGACAGAAACCAGGGGCGTGTCCCTGAACAGCTGTGGAGGGGAGGGCAGCCTCTTTGAGGAGATGCTGACTGAAGCAGGGACCTGAGAAAGTAGGCGTGGGTCAGGAAAGAGGGGACAGGCGGGCAGGGACCTGGAGGCAGCCCAAAGCCCTTGAGGATTGAGGCTGGGAGGGCGGGAGGGGGTGGTCTTGCCCAGGCAGCCCTCCCAGACCCTCTGACCCCCGTGCCCTGCCTCTAGCCCAAGAGCCCTTCCAGGTGGGGGAGGAGCACCAGCACCAGGAGAAATGGGGCCTCCTCTTGCCTCTGTTGCTCAGCCCCTGGGACGAGACTAGGGCACCCCCAGCCCCACCCCTCAGGAGTTCAAGCCGATCCCCCCAGTTGATAGCTTGGGGTCCTAGGGCTGACCCCCCTCGCATCTCTGTCTGGCCCAGCATCCACGCGCCTGCTCTGGGAATGGGAAGCCCTCCCCTCCACCGGGGCCCCATGGTAACGCCTGTCCCCCTGCCTCCTCACAGTCCTAAAGGGGAAGAAGCTGAGCTTGCCGGCGTAACCCTGGTCCTCGCCGTCCCTCCTCGGCAGCCCAGCAGCAGCGGGAGGCAGAGGAAGGCAACCGAAGACGAAGAGCCTTCCCGTCCAGGGGTGACTTTTTAAACACCCAGCCTCTCCCCGCTCTCCATCCCGGCTCCTGCCGAGTTTCAGGGGGCGGGGGAGGACCCACGCCTTGGGCAGTTCAGGACCTGGGCTGTTTGTAGTTTTTTGCCTTTTAGAGAAGAAGAAGAAGAAGAAGAAAAAAAAATCTTTCCACTCTTGAGCTTTTGATTCTGATGACTCCTTTCTCTTCTACTCTCTGGTCCCCATTTTTATAAACTGTTTTTGAGGGGCCCGTGGGGCTGGGCAGGGTCGGAGATGTTTTCCCTGCCCCGAGCTCCTCGGACCCCTCCCCGATCCTACTCCCCCAGCCCCACTGGTTGCCAAACACTAAATCTGCCGACACCCGCCTTCCCAGCCTCCCACCGTGGCCGTGAACACAGCCTCCTGCTCCCCCAAACTTCTGGGTTGGGGGGGAAGGTCTCCCCTCATTTTTCATAATAACTTTTTTCCAGAGTTTTGGACTTTTGGTCTTGTCCTCATTTTTTTTTTTTTTTTTGGCAATTTAGGGGAACAAGGGGGGCCGGGCATGGGAACGGGGCTGGCCTGAGGGTCCCCGTGATTCTACCGCCATGTTTTTGTACAGAAAGGATGATTGATTCTTTGTTCTCTTGAAATAAACCGAGGAAAACGATGCCTCTCTTTCGCGACTCCTTGCCTTCTCTCTTTGGCGTTGGTGGGGTCCTGCCCCGGCCCCCCTCTCTGCTTCTGCTTTATCCCATCCACCGTCCCTGGGCGACCAGAGGTCTGGGAGGAGCAGGAAGATGAGAGACTGGCCTTCCTGAGACTCTCGGCTGCACCCTGACTCCCAGCTCCACTGGGGATGACGTTTTGGACAAAAAAAAAAAAATCTCGAAGATTCTCATCTTGGCACCAAACTTCCCTGACCGTTCTCCTGAATCACAGGGTTGCAGAAGACCTTCAAAAGCGTGCGTTTGGGAGGTCACCAATGGCCACCCCCCGTCACACCCTCATTTGGCATTTTGTTGCTCCACTCTGTTTTCTTAAAAAAAAAAAGGGGGAGGGGAGGGAATTGGTTGCCAGCCTTTAAAAACCAGATTTTCACATTAAATTCTGAATTTCTGGCTTCTCATGAAAAAAAATCCATCAATCTGACAATGCCAGGTCCTCGTTTCTGGGTGACAACAGATGGCTGGAGCTGAATGGATGGGATGTGAGCTTTCCACCACGGTCCCCGGGACTTGGCTGAGGGGTTGTTCCCATTTATTATTGAGCTGACGCTGTTGTTTTTGTTTTTTGTTTGGTAGAGTTAAAAGAAAAGTGAAATATTTCCCACGTCTCCCTCCAGATTGGCCTCCCACCTGGTCTGTTTCCTCTTCTTGCATTACCTGCCTGGTCCTTGTAAGCTTCTGGAGTTTTTTTTTTCGTTTTTCTTTTTTTGAGGAAGATTGGCCCTGGGCTAACATCTGTGCCGATCTTCCTCCACTTTGTATGTGGGACAGCTGCCACAGCATGGCTTGTTAAGCAGTGCGTAGGTCTGCACCTGGGATCTGAACCCGGGATCTGAACCCACAAACCCTGGACCACCAAAGCGAAGCATGTGAACTTAACCACTACACCATCAGTCTGGCCCCTGGAGTATTTTTGTTTTTTGTTTTTTTTGCTGAGGAAGATTAGTCCTGAGCTAACATCTGTGCCAACTTCATCCACTTTATATGGGGGATGCCTGCCACAGCATGGCTGACAGGTGGTGTAGGTCCACGCCTGGGATCTGAACCTGCGAACCCAGGCCATCAAAGTGGAGTGCGCAGAACTTAACCACTACGCCACGGGGCAGCCCCCAGCTTCTGGAGTTTTGACCCCTGATATAGAGTCTCTAGATATCTACTAAGACCCTCCTTAACTGCCTCCAGTTCTCCTGTAGGATGGCTCTGGAAGCTTCTGGAGGCAGGCAGCTGGCGTTTCCCGAGCATTTCCTAAGTGCCAGGCAATGTGCATTGTACGGACGAGCCCACGGGACCCTCACAGCACCCTGAAGAGGGGGTGCTTTGCAGGGGAGGAAGCCCAGGCTTAGAGGGGCAAGTGGTAGAGGTGGGGTTTGTGCCCGGGCTTCCTGACCCTGGAGCCTGTGTGTTTAACCACCGCGGCGGGGTTTATCAACTGTTTTTTCTTTCTTTCTCTGAAGCCAGGGCGCCTTCTGTTTAGAGGAGTTTTGCCCGGAAGGTGGCTACGGAAACGCAGGAGCGTGATACGGGGTGGGAGGTGGCCCCTGGTTGAACGCAGTCTCAAAACCGTCGATCTCAGTCTGGTCCGAGTCTAATTTTATAGCCAACACAACTCGGGCCCAGAGAGACTAAGTGGCGCGCCCGGGTTATCCAGCTGGCGACAGGGTGACCATGACAGCCTGGATTCCTTCCATTTCCCATGCCCGGACGCAGCCCACGCCACTCCACTGCTGCCCTTTCTCCCCATGCCCACAGGGACGACGACCTGTTTATTTCCGTGCCCCCAGAACTGAGCCCCGGGCCTGCCACACAGGAGGCCTCCAAGAGGGGACCACAGCACCCACATTTGCCCCCCCCATAACTTGTACCCCTTTGTCCAGTTCGTAAACAAATGCTCTGCAGGCCACTGCGACCCTTGTGTGGGCCCGTTTTTTTTGGCCTGCAAAACATTAAATTTTTTTTTTAATTCCTTGCCAACGACTTCCCCATAAAAAGAAACAGATGTCCAGTTGTTCCAGAACAACCAGAAGATTCTAGAGCCGCACTGTCCAAAAGGGTGGCCATTAGCTGCAGGTGACCATTAGCACTTGAAATATGGCGAGTCCCAATTGAGATGTACTGTCCTCATTAATAATTTTCACATTGATGACATGCTGAAATGATCATGTTTTGGATAGATTGGGTTGAATAGAATGTATGAAAATTATTTTCACTTGTTTCGCTCTAGTTTTCTTAATGTGACTACTAGACGATTTGAAATCCTGCCCGCCGTGGCTCACGTTACATTTCAACCGGACAGTGCTGGTCTAGACGCCCCAGGCCCGCGGTGCTGGATGCTGGGTGCTGAGTGAAGGCGGCCCCTCCGGGACACGGCCCCTGTCCCCACCGCTCCCTTAATGGGCGCTTCAGCCACCGGGTTACCTGCTCGGCCCCTACAGGCCTGTGCACATGTCGCCGACCACCCTCGGGATTCTCGAATGAAACCCCTTCCTCTTCCCCAAGGTGGTTTAAATATTTTGCGACAAGGATCTCCCTGGACCTCATTCACGCACTTGCATCCCCTGTTCGTTCAACGACTCCTCACGGGGAGTGGTTGTGAGTTAAGTCCCTTGTCACTGGGGTGAGGGAAGGGCTTTGGCGTCAGGGACAGGGCTGGTGGCAGTGTTGGCCCCCGTTCTCAGCACTGTCTCCGTGGGCGGAAGCATTTTGTCTCTCTGAACTTGAGCTTCCTCCACTGTACGATGGGGTGCCTCGTACCGCCCTCGCACGGCCAGTGTGAGGAGGAAAGGGCTCGGTGTGTGACACACACAGGCCTGGGAGAAGGGCTCCCTTCCTTCCTGTCACCACCTCTCATCTGTCACTAACACGATGGTCCCCAGATAGAGGGTCCAGGAGGCGGCATGAAAGTGTGGCCCAGTGCCGAGACCCCTGAGATGACCGTGTGGGATTTCTCACCACCTCTGGCCACTGAAGGGACCAGAGAAGAACAGACACGAGAGGGACAGAGAGCTGTTCTCAGAAACCCTTCTGGAGGGAGGATTATGTCTTTACTGCTGTGGATGAGGATGCCTAGTCGTCGGGCATCATAGCGAGGCGAGGGACCTTTGGGGTGCTCAGATAGGGGGACAGGCTGGAGCCTGTATAACTCAGGTTGTGGGGGTCCGGGCTGGGCGTGTTGACAGGGCTGGCGGCAGAGGGTGGGGAGAGGGAGGTCAGCACCATGCCGCGCTCATCCAGGGAGCGCTTGTAGGGGACCGGAGCGTCATTTTGGAGGTCCTGGAGGGCCAGGTAGGCCTGGAATATCTGTGGGCAGAGAAGGGCATGCTGCAGGCCGGCTTGGGCTGGGCAGGGCAGGAGGGGGCCGGGCTGGGGACGGGCCTGGGAGGGAGCCGCAGGGTATGGCTGTGCCCTCTGCTCCCTGGACCCGGGTTCTCGGCTCGAGGCCTAATGCTGGGCTGCGTCTCTGCGTCTGCTCAGAGAGGGGGCAGCTTCCTTCCAATTTACCCAAAGGCGTGGAAGGGGCTGGCTGAGACCCCGGGAGGACCACCCCCCAACTCCCAGGGGAGCTCAGTGACAGTGGACTGTTCTGGCTGTCCCAGCCCCGCCCGGCGGAGGCAGAGGGCGCCTGGGGAGGCGGCTTGTCCTCACCCAGATGAGGATGGAGAAGAAAGCGAAGGTGACGGCCACCTTGGCGCTGCTGCTCCCCAGGAGGAAATGTTTGGGTGGCGAATGCTGCCACTGGTTGGCCAGGAAGCAGAAACCCACGAACCAGACGGCTGTCCAGAGGACTGTGGGGTCACAAGGAGAGAAGAGGGGCAGAGAGAGCCGGCTTAGGAAGGACTCCTGGGGTGTGGACAGGGTGCGGGCGGGGCTCTATCAGGTGGCGAGTTTTGCTTTGACGCCTGGATCTGCCACTCAGCAGCTGCGTGCCCAGTTACATACCCTCCTCAAGCCTCAGTTTCCCCCCTCTGTAAAATGTGAACACGAACAGCACTTAACTCCTCGGGGGAAGGTGCTGAGGAACAAATGAGACAAGGCACGTGGAGCCCTTGGCTCCAGGCCCAGGAAATGCCAACGTCGCTACAGACTTCGTCTCTCTCGTTTCATCCTCGGAAAGACCCTGCCAGGTGGGCGCTTTCATCCCACCTTCTCCTGGAGCTCAGAGAGGGGGAGGGACCCGCTCAAGCTGCCCCGAGCAAGGAGACGCCGGAGTTGGGACTTCAAACCGGGTCTGTCTGGCTCTGTGCTCCGAACCCCACCTCCTGCCACCAGGTGGCTTTTCAAGAAACGTTCTCTGAGGGAGGGAGCTGAATGCGAAGAAAACTCCAGCCAGGAGGGAAGCTTCTAGAATTAGCCCAGGGGTCAGAAGAGGTGACCCTGACACTGAGTCTAAAGGACGAGTGACAATTCCTCGGGAGGAGACAGCAGGTGCAGAAGGGAGGGACGCAGCTTTGGGTCACGCGTGGGGGACAGTCAGAGGCCGGCTGGGTGGGGGAGGGCGGTGTCCTGGGGACCCGGGGGAGCCAGGGAGGGCCGGGAGGAGGAGCAGGGGCAGCTCTGGGCGGGCGTTCCCGGGGAGGGGGGTGCTCACCAGCCAGGATGAAGTCCAGGAGCTGGAAGGCCGACTTGAAGTGGGTGCTGGCGATGCGGCTCTCGTGGGCGTCCAGGACGAGGAAGGCCAGGCAGCAGAGGAAGGCCAGGAGGCCGGCCCCCACGGAGAAGCTGCAGGCCGTGTTGTTGCTGTTGAGGACGCAGTGGAGCTGCGATGAGTCAGTCTTGTTCTGGTAGCCGTCGGTCAGCAGGGAGGAGAAGATGATGAGGGCAAAGATCTGCGGAAGCAGGAGGAAGATGCCCAGGGGCCGGAGCGCAGCTCAGCATCTCCCCCAACCTGCGCATCCTCCCGGGTTCCCCCACCTGCGGACGGACGGCGGGCCCTGCCGCAAACCCACTGGGCCATTCTGGCCCCTTCCTTCCTGGCACAGCCTCAGAGCCTTCCAGCCCCGTCCCTCCTGCTGCCCCTCACCCCTCTTCTCTATCCTAGCTCAGGCCTCTTCCCCTGGCCCCTCCGCCCATCCCCGACACGGGCCCCAGAGGGGTCTTTCCACACCCTGCCCCTCCCGGCTCACAGCCCCCCCATGGCTCCCTAGCACCCCGGGACACAGTCCCAGCCCCTCAGCCTGGCCTTTGAGACCCTGCGTGGTCTCTGCTCTCTTTGCTCTTTTAATCCCTCTCTCCCCACTCACCTCTGCCTCGCCCCAGACTCCCCTGCTGCCGCCCCAATCGGGCACCTGCCGCCAAACCCAGGTACCAAGATGAAACGCTTAGCACCGTGCCTGGGACACAGGACGAGCTCAATAAGTGGTTGCCACCACGAGTATTCTCTGGGCCTCTAAGCTCTTCCTCTGCCTGCAACTTCCTCCCCGCTCCCGGCTTGGCTAATTCCCATCCATCTTTAAAAATAAATCTGTGAAATATTCCAAAAACACAGAAATATACGGAGGGACGTGTGACAAACACCCAGGATCTAATAAACATTACCATATTACCATTTTGCCTTTTTTTAAGAAAGCAAATACAACCACTGATAGGACAGCCCCGTCCCTCTCGCCCATGCACGCTGCCTGCGACACGGTGTAGCAGGACTGTCTGCATCCATGCTTGTCTTCCACAGGGTTTGTTTATTAAATGCCACTAAAGTGCTCCACAAGCCCTGGCCTGTGTCATCCTTTTAAACACCCTAGAATGGAGGCACGACTCACGGCCCTGTTTTTTAGATAGTGGAACTGAGGCACAGAGAGGGTGAGGAATGGCCCAAAGTCACTCAGCTGGTAAGCGGCAGCGCCTGGATTTGAACCGAAGCTGTCTGGCTCCCCAGTCTGCTGTAACCCCCTGCTCTACCGCCCCAGGCTGGACCAGACGCCTTGAGAGCAGGGGTTCCTAGGCATGCAGTTCAGTGAAAATGCTAATCCCCAAGGATTTGTCGCAGACCGTCACAGTGCAGTGTAGCAAGGTCCATGCCAGATATGGAAGGAACCGGTGTGTGTATGGGGTGGGCAGTGGGAGTTGGTCCAGGAAGACTTCCTGGAGGACGTGACGCCTGTAAGGAGGGTTGCAGGGTGAGAAAGGCTAAGGAGTGGGGGTTGTCTGGAGGGCAATAGGGAGCCATGGGAGGGCTGTGAGCAGGGAAGGGTCAGGGTCAACTCTGGATGAACGAAGAGCCCTCTGGGGCCACTAGAGATGCACTGGAGGTCGGAGGCCAGAGGGGAGGCTGGGGCCTGGGGCCAGGGAGAGAGGCAAGGTCTGAGCTGAAACTGAAGTCGTGGGGCTGGGTTTCAGAGGCAATAAGGTGGGATCTGAGCTGCACCTTAAAGAAGGAGGAGTTTCTCAGGCAGGCAGAGGAGGAAGGGCATTCCATGCCGGGCAAGCCGTGTGTGCAAAAGCCAGATGCGCAGAATGCGGCTCCTTCTGGGATGGAGAGAGACCTCACTGGCGGGCTCCCGTGTGAGACGAGGCTGGGAAAGCGGGCGGGAGCCAGACCCTCGCAGGCCTCGCACACCACAGCCAGGGGCCTGCACTTGGGCGCCGTGGAAAGTGAAATTTCCTACGTGGATGTGATTTTACCCACGGAAGGGCTCTGAGCAGAGGATGGCCGGGCCCAGACCTGGGAGTCAGAGCAAATCTCTAGGGTCGTGATGGCTCGGAGGGGGCAGGACCAGAGGCCAACAGATCAGAGAGGAGACCGTCAGGAGGGTCCAGGCAGAGTCCTGAGGCCTGGGCCGGGCTCAGAGCTCTGGGGAACCCGGTGATATTTGGGACGTGAAATTGGCCTTGGTGATGGCTCGGATGTGGTGATGCTGGGGAGGGGAGCGGGGGGCTAGGCGAGGGGAAGGGGTTCAGGAGAATTTGAACTCTTCCTGGAAGGGTCCTCATGGGACCCTTCTCTCTACCCCAGCCCCCAGGTCCAAATTGGACCTCAGCAGATGTGTGTTGAAGGAGTGAATGACCTTGGGCCCTAATCGCCCTTGCCCTGCCCTTCAGAGTGGGGGTGGGGAAGCAAAGGATGGACCCCTAAACTTTTCAGCCTCTGCCCATCCTCCTCTCCCCTTTGCCTTAGTTGCTGTCTCTGAATAATAATAATAATAATAATAATAATAATAATAATAATAACAATAATAACCACAGGTCCCTCTTTTGGTCCAGCACTGCAGCATTTTCCAAGGGGATTCACATCCTCCCCCGTTTCGGAGCTGAGGAACCGGGTCCAGAGAAGGGGAGCACCTTGCCCTGCTGGTCTGAGGCAGAGCCAGGTCGAGGCCGAGGACCGGAAGGCCCCATCGATCGTCTTTGAGCCCAGATTCGTTTTACCCGCACTACCTCCCCGGAGCCTCGCACCAGCCCCACGTGGTCGATGCTACTAAGTCATTTCTGTTGCACAGGTGACAGATCGAAGCCATTACGGTGGAGTGGAAAGAGCCAGACGCGTCTGACTCGGCCAGCTGTGTGGCCCTGGGCAAATCACTCATCTCTTGGAGCCTCAGTTTCCCAGTCTGTCTCGGTGCTTCGAAAAGGGGCATCCAAGGGTGGGGGGCCTGGCCCTGACGGTCGTTCTCATGATCGGCCCAGAGAGGGAAAGCGTCCTTTCAAGGTCGGTCAGCGGTGGAGGGGGATCGGAATGCAGCCTTCCTGACTTCCAGGCCTGTGGGCTCTCTGTCCACTCACCCTGAAAACCCCGGGCTGCGGCGCGAGCCCAGGGTGCTGGAGACAGGGGAAGGGGGCTCAGCTGGGCCAGGGGGACCCTCGCCTTCCGAAGCCTGAGTCCCACCTCCTTCCAGGCCCTCCCTGGCCTGTCCTCAGGGAGGGAGCAAAGATTAATCGGTTAAGGCACCAGCTGGCAGGCGGCAGGGAGCAGGACAAGAGCACCAGCTGCCCAGAGACTCCCTACCGAGGAGCCAGGCCAGGGGGGGAAGGAGGAGAGGGCGGGAGGGAGGGTGGAGGCGGCGGGCAAAGTCTGTGACCGAAACGTCTGGCCCAGTCAGCGGCCCTGCCCTCTGCCTTTGTCACCCCAGCCCACACCAGCTGGGCCTCCTTCTCTCTCGCCCCCCGGCCCCCACCCTTCCTTCCGGAGCTTCGGAGGTGCTAGAATCCTTCCCAGTCGCTTGCCAGCTGGGTGATGTCCTTAGGCAAGTCACTCCACCTCTGTGAGCCTCAGTTTCCCCCGGGGTCAAACAGGGGTAATGACGCCCGTGTCACACGGTCGTGGGGAGGGGCCTGGAACTGGGACGTGGAATTCGTAATTCCCCGCTTCCCCCGGGTGAGAACAACAGACACTGTCCCCATCACCACAGACCCCGGAACCCCTCTCTGTCCTCGCTCACAAGCCCTGATTCGTCCCAATAATCACTGCTATTTAAGGGAAGATTAGGACTCGCCAGGCCCCGGCTCATCATTTTATAGGGATAAACTCGTTTCGTTTTCACAACACTCCTTCCTCCGACCAGGGCACCCCACCATCTTTTTGCTGATGACAGTATAGAGGTTCAGAGAAGTCAAGTCACCTCCTCCAGGTCACACAGACACAGGGTGATGGGTAAATCATCAAACGGGATGGGGCGCTTTTGAGTAGGAATGGTGGCGCTGCTGATGCTCACGCCAGGACTGGCCCAGGCGCACCGGGGTGTACGTCCCCCTCCGTGGACAGCACGTGGCCGAGCCGGGATTCAAAGCCAGGCCTGTCTGATCCTACTCTGATCACGGCTTCCAGAAGGCGTAGGGAGGAGACACTCTGGATTAGGACCCGGGCACCCCACCTACTCCCATGACCCTGATCCAGTCTCGTCCTCTCCCTGGGCCTCAGTTTCCAGCTCTGTCAAAGGAGAGCAATGGAGGCAGCACAGGTGAAAGCCAGAGTCACAGCACTAACCTCATGCACTGAGGTCCAGAGAGGAGCAGGGATTGGGCCAAGGTCACACAGCAAAGTCTGGGCTGAGTGGGAATGGGAGCCCGGGTGTCTGGACCCTTCACGAATACAGTAAGGATTAAAGCAGTGCACGCGGAGCCCTCTCGTGGCACAGCGCCTGGCGCACAGCCACCACCGACGCCAGGGTCTCAGGTCCACGTTCCACGTTCCCCTCCCACCTCCGTGTCCCTCTTCCTTCCTAGAGGCCCAGCCCCGGCTCCGCGCCGAGTCCCTTCCCTGCGATGTGGGAAACGAGCGGGCTCTGGCGGAGCTCGGGGGGCCGGCTTAAGTGGTTAAGTTTGCACGCTCCGCTTTGGCAGTCCCGGGTTCAGATCCTAGGCTCGGACCTACACACCACTCATCGAGCCATGCTGTGGTGGCGTCTCACATAGCAAAACCAGAAGGACCTACAACTAGGATACACAACTATGTACTGGGGGGCTTTGGGGAGAAAAAAAAAAAAGAGGAAGATTGGCAACAGATGTTAGCTCAGGGCCAATCTTCTTCACACACAAAAAAATTATATAATGTTATAAACCAATGTTACTGCAATAAAAAAATAATAAAGAACCCATTCTTTTTTTTTTTTTAAATGGGGCTCAGAGCATTGACTTCGAAGGGCCGTTTCTTCCCATGAGACTTAAGTGCTCAGAAGAGCGAGGGCCTCCGGTTAGGTGCTCAGTAAAAGGCTATCTGGGCCATCAGCTCCCTTCTGCTTTCTTTTCCCGCCTCCAGCCCCTTCCTGCCTCCCGCTCCCTCTGCACTGGGTCTGAGAGGTGACAATGCCTGCGTCCTGTCCCCTCGAGGGGCGGTCGGGCCGCAGGAGGGCCTCACCCCTGCGCAGATGCGCGTGATGGTCTTGGGCTTCTTCAGGAACTGCACGGCCTCGCTGTCTGCCAGGTCCTGCAGGCTTTCGGGGATGTGCATGGCGGCTGCTCTGCTCCCGGGCCTGGGATGCTGGGTGCCACCGGCCAGGGGGGTGGCTCCAGGCCCACCCTGGGGCTCGGCTGCTGCAAGACAGGGCGGTGGAGGGAGGTCAGCTTCGGGTGGAGGGGCTGCCGGGGGTCCCAGTGGTAGAGACACAGGGGGAAGGGGTTTCTGGGGGCTCCCAGGAATGGGGGGCACGGGTGAGGGGCTGCTGGGGCCCAGGAGTCAGGAACGCAGGCTTTGGAAACTGTAGGGTGAGGGGGCTGCCAGGGGTCCCGTGGTGGGGTGCAGGGGTAGGCGATCCCAGGCCTGGGAGAAAAGGGGGGACAGAGTTGGGATATTGGGGTCGGGTTGCTGACCCAGCAGCCAGAGGGTCCACGTTAAGGGCTGTGTCCCCTCTGGGAGACACCACGAGTGGGTGATCCCTTTTCCAGGGATCAGGGGGGTGCCAGGATGGAGATCAGAACCCCCGGGAGTTCTGGACCAGGGGAACCCCTTTCCGGTTTGGGGGTGACAGCACCCATAACGGAGGACCCAGGTGTATTTTAGGCTGTCCTTTGATTTGGGGTTGTTTCCTTGGAATCAGGGCCTCCTCTTAGAAGTCAGCTCCGTCTTCCTAAAAGTGCGTTCCCCTCCGCTGGGGGCCTAGGCCTCGGATGCGCGGGGAACGTGGGCTCAGAACTGAACTGTCCCCTCAGAACAGGATGCCGGCCCCGGCGTCAGGCTACCTTCTTAGAATCGGGGTCTTCCCTCTAAGGACGTGGAATGGGGTGGTGGGGCTTGGGGGTGACGCTGTCTGACAAAGGGCCACCCCTACTCTGGAGGCCGGGTCCGCGTCACCTGGAGGCCGGCTCTTCCTTCCGCCCACCCTCCCCTCCTGGTCCCTGGCGCCACCTCGGTATTCCTTTGGTTCTGCTTTTTCCCGCCTTTTCGTTTCTCCACAGCTGATTGGCTGTGCTCAAGCCCCGCCCCCTCTCTTTTCCCGCCCACTCTGGAGCGGGCGCGGGCGGGGGCGTGGCCTCAGCGGACGTTGGGCCGCCCGCCGTTAGCGAGCTGCGCGCGAGAGCCCTGCCCCGCCCCAGCTCTCTCGAGAGTCTCGCCCCCGCCCCGCCCCCTTCCCTTTGAAGCACGCGAACAAGGAGACACTCCTGCGGCGCGTGCGCCGAGCCCAAACAGGACTGTAGTGGAGCCAGGCAGACAGATTGCGCATGCGCAATCGAGACCGGGCATTAGACGAAAGAATGGCGGGCGCTCAATGATCCAGGCTTTGCGCATGCGTCTTACTGCTGCCTGAAGCCGAACCTCGGGAGCCCAGAACACCTTCCTGCACATGCGCAGGAGGCTCAATGACAGTCGAGCGTTGGCTAAGGTGAGGGACACGGCAGAGGATTGCATGGCCGGGGGAGGGCGGCCCTGCACCCCCTATGTAGCCTTTCCGAGCATCTCCTATGCTCCTAAGATCCGCCTCGCCGCCTTGACCCCGCAGAAACCAGTTGTACCACTACAGGGGTCTCTGGGCCCGCAAAACGCCCAGGACCTAAGACCTTTGACCCCTGCCTGGGACCCCAGCCAACTGAGCGGTGTGGGAGGGGACGGGCAAGAGGGCTACGAGGCAGGCGAATGGACTCTGCGCCTTGCCTGGGGTGGGGACGGCCCCTGGAGGTTGGGACATGGAGGAGGAGAGGGCGATTGTCCTCCGGATGACCTTTGACCCAGCCCATTTCCCTTGTTTAGGCTCCCAGGAAAGGGTCTGGCCATGCTGCATGTGACCCGGGGGGTCTGGGGATCCAGGTTCCGAGTATGGCCCCTGTCACCCGCGCTCCTCGGGTCCCCCCGGGCCGCGTCGTCGCTGGCCGTCAAGATGGGGGAGTACCGCAAGATGTGGAACCCCACGGAGCCCCGCGCCTGGGCCCAGCAGTACCGCGAGCGGTTCATCCCGTTCTCCAAGGAGCAGCTGCTCCGCCTCCTGATACAGGTACCGCCCGTCCCGGGTCCAAGCGCCTGGGGACTACGACTCCCGGCAGGTCTCGCGGCGGCACAGCGCTACATGCTATGCAGGGCTGCCCTGGTGCCTCCTGGGAGTTGTAGTTCCGGTTCTCCCTTTCCCCAATCCCAGGTGGGGCGCCCAGTGAGTCGGAATTCATGCAGAAGACGTTTGAGATGCAGATATAGCAGCAGTTCCCGACTCTAGCTTGTTCTGGGGCTTGAACAAGCATTCACTGGGGCATGTTTTTTTACCTCTGCAAAATGGGTGTAATGATCATCCCCATCACTATTACTACTACCTAATAATAATTATTACACCTCCGAAGCTATAATCATGATTATTATCACACTGTGTGAGCTCTTACTATATGGCACTGTGCTAAGCATTTTCCGTGTATTACTGAATCATCCTAATAACCCAGTAAGAGAGATACCACTATCATCCCCATTTTACAAACGAGGTAACTGAAGCAGAAGAAAGTGGCTTACCCAAGGCTACGACGCACTGGCCCAGATTTACTCTTTTTTTTTTTTTTTTAAGATTGGCACCTGAGCTAACAACGGTTGCCAATCTTTTTTTTAATTTTTTTTCCTGCTTTATCTCCCCAAATCCCCCAGTACATAGTTGTATATCTTAGTTGCAGGTCCTTCTAGTTGTGGGATGTGGGACGCCGCCTCAACATGGCCTGATGAGCAGTGCCATGTCCGCGCCCAGGATCCCAACCCTGGGCCGCTGCATCGGAGCGTGCGAACTTAACCACGGAGCCGACCCCTGGCCCAGATTTGAAGGGAAGTGGTCAGACTCCAGAGCGGGGCGGGGACTAGGGTGAGGCAGAAGGCACTGCTCGACTCTAAGAGTGAATGCTCCTTGCATTTTGTGGGTTAGGCATTTCATTCAACTCACCATAGTCGTCCGCTCCAAAGCTTAAGCTCTTATCCCACTATTATCATCATACATGTCATTATTGAGATTATCATTCATTCACTTAACTATTTATTGAACACCTGCTGTATGTACTAAGTGCTGTGTTCGACTATACACACACATAAGTGTGCACACACATACATAAACACACATGTATATATATGGACACATATTGCATCAAATTCTCACCAGTGCTCTCTAAGAAAGACGGTGTGATCCTCTGTTGCTGATCAGGAAACAGGCTTAGAGAGGTGAAGTATGTAATTTTTACTCATATCTCATTTTTTGGAGAAAGACATAGTGGTTATAATATTGGCTTGATAGGTGCTATTGACTAGCTATAAGGATTAGTGGAAGAAGCCATGTCAACGAGTCAGCCAGGTCACCAAGTGGCTAAATGCATGTGCTCTACGGTCAGACAGACCTGGATTGGAGGCTCAGCTTCTCTTTATACAGACGCTGTGGCCCTCAGCGAGTGTCTCCCCCGAGGCTTGGTTTCCTTCTCTGAAAAATGGGGATTATAATTCCTTCACCCACCTTGCACCCTCTGGAGGATGACCGCATGCCAGCAGACAGTGCCTGCCACACAGTGAGCAGTGTGTGGATGTGAAAGTGTCGAAGCACGAACCTGAACCTCTAGCTCCTTTAGCCATCTGCTTTTCCCTATGCCGGGCTACGTCAATTTCCTGGTCAGTCAAATTGGCCAAACCCTCTTTTCTCTGAACAAAATAAAATTGTAAAGAACCCAGAGCTCTGATTGTCTGTGTGGGCTGCCAGGGAAGGAATTCCTCCCTGTGAGGATGGGGCAAGAGGCCTAAAGAGAAGTTTTGCTTCCCGAGGGAACAGGAATTCCACTCCAGCCCCGCGGAGAAGGCGGCTTTGGAGGAGTTCTCGGCCCACGTGGACTTCTGCACCTTGTTCCACTACCACCACGTCCTGGCCCGGCTGCAGGTGAGGATGAGGATGGGGCTGGTTGGCTCATCCGTTCACTCAGCAAAAATTCTCTGAGCACCTCCTGGGAGCCTGGCCCCGTGCTGAGCACTGGGGATGCAGCTGTGAACAGGACAGATGAAGCCACGCCCTCCTGGAGCTGACATTCCCGTTGGGGAGACAATAAATAAACAATGATAAAATATGATACTCAGGAGCGGTAAGTGCTATGACTAACAATGAAGCAGCGATTGAAACCAGATAGAGAGGGATGAGATGGGGGCCTATTTTAGACAGGGTGGTCAGGGAAGGCTTCCCTGAGGAGGTGGCAGATGAGCTAAGACTTGAGTGAAAAGAGGGAGCGAGCCCACTGGATGTCTGGACATTCTGGGCAGAAGGAAAAGCAAGTGCAAAGGCCCTGAGGTGAGGGTGTTGGAGAAACATGGACCACTGTGGCTGGAGGAGGGGAGTGAGCCAGGGAGAGAGGGCAGGAGATGAGGGTGGAGAGGGAATGGGGGCAAATTGTGCCCGGCCTTGTGAGCCGAGCTGAGGACTTTGCTTCTACACCGAGTGAGCTGGGAGCCACAGGGGGGCTCTGAGCAGAGAGAGACATGAGCTGATTTAGGTGTTAACAGGATCTTTCTGGCTGCCGTGGAGGGAACACACTGTCAGAGGCAGAGAGATTTATTAAAGAGTCTATTATATTTGTCCGGGTGAGAGATAATGGCAGCTCCAACAAGAGTAATAGCCACGAGTGTGGTGAAAAGTGGTCAGACGCTGGTAATGGTTGGAACGCATTCGGCTGTGAGGGCAGGACCATAAGGCAAAGAGAGGAGTCAGGTGGTACCTCCAGCAGTTCTGGCCTGCCTCCCTGCAAGGATGGAGCTGCCATTTACTGAGATGCGGGAGACAGGGCGAGGATGGAAGACAGATCTGCGGGGATCATCAAGAGCTCAATTTGGGACTTAGGAATTTGAGCTGCCTCTCAGACAGCCGGGTAGAGAGAGGGACTCGACAGTGGGGTCTGGAGGTCAAGGGAGGGGCCTGTGCTGAGCAGCAACCCTGGGAGGATGTAGATGATACTAAGTGGGGCCAGCAGGAGGCTTAGCTGAGCCCAGGGGTGTGCCAGCCTCGAGGGATCAGGAAGGGGAGCGGGAACCAATGAGGGGGACAGGCAAGGAGCAGCCGAGAGAGAAGTGCAAGCCCAGGAGAGAGTGGTCTCAGGAAGCCAAATTCGCAGCATCTTCTCTCTCTCCTCCCAGGGTCCTGCCTGTCTTGGAGGTCCGTCCCCAAGACCACTCTCAGATTCACTGATTTTCTGGAGGGACTCACAGAGCTCAGACAAGCTGTGATGCTCACAGTAATAGTTTATTACAGCAAAAGGGTAGCAAACAAAATCAGCAAAGGAAAGAGATGACGGGGCAGGGCTCAGGAGAGACCAAGCGAGAGCTTCCAGTTGTCTCTCCCAGTGGAGTTGCACGAACAGCACTTAATTCTCCCACCAATGATGGGGGGTGAGATGCACAGAGTGTTGCCCACCAGGGAAGCTCATGGAGGCTCGGTGTCCAGGGTTTTTATTGGGATTGGTCATGGAGGCCTGGCTGACTGCTGTGTGGCTGACCTTACTTACTCAGTCTCCAGCCCCTCCAGAGGTCAAGTTGATACCACGTGCCCCGAGGCCCCGGCATTGATCACATTGTTTGCATAGACTAGCCGGTGTGGCCTAAGGCCCCAGTGAAACCAAGTCACTCTTATCAGGCAGGACATGCAAAGGGTTTGGAGGTTCCCTCCCAGCAGCCAGTCAAGGGCCAGTCCTTTGAAATGTGCAGGGTTTGGACAACCCAGGCCCGCTGAGTTAACCCCATCCTGCACACTGCCACTGCCCTCCTACATCTGCTGTCAGCCCCATTTGCAGAGGCAGAAACTGAGGCTCCGAGAGGGCCTGGGATGTGCCCCTGATCACACAGTTCTCAAGTGACAGAGTCAGGATTTGAGCCCCTGTCGGCCTACCTCCAAGCTCTTCCCCGGGGCACCTGTCACCTTGG